TCCCTACACAGAAAGAAAAAAAGCCTAAAACAACCCCTGTGAAAGTGGTCAGATAGAATGAGTCATGTGCAACAATTCAGGGGCAGGTTTGAAAGTGTTCATCTATGTACAAGGCACACAGATTGACTGGGCAGACTTTCAGCAGTGTTCAGCACTCCAGAAATGGGTGGGGAATCTAGAATCTGTTGGGAATTCAGAGTAAAGCCCTAGACTCAATAATTTCCTGAGCAACATCAGGGCGTTTGAGGACTATGGGAATCACTGGGCTCTGAGCGATGGTCAAGAGCTTTACAATGCAGTGTATGTGTGTAAACACTTCATAAAGATGATAGAGATTATTAGGACATGCTTGAAACAAAATCTCTCGTCCAAAATTCCTAGATGTTTTAGAGAGCTAAATAACTTCAGTTAGGGTCCTGTCCATGTTTGTTTCTTTCATGTCATTCCCCTTTCCTTTCCATTTTCTTTAGTGTATCCTGTACTCGAATGTTGGGAATGTTTATACATTATATAATAACTGTCTCCTTTTAATTTAAATACTTTTAAATTATTTTTCTCAACTCACATTTGCAGCAAGAGTATGCTGACTATTTTTTTGTATATAAGTGTAAACACGCACTTTATAATTTGTCATATAAAAGCTTTCTATAGGCTAAAAATTAAGAGGATGACTTCTGATTCATAAGAAATATTTTTTTTCTACATTTTCTTTCAATTTGACTTGAAGATTTTCATTAACATGCTGCTCTCAGCACTCCCGAAATGCCTATCCCAGCTGATTTTTTCATCTCAGTAGCCATCCACAGTTGTGGGGCAGAAAGATTGTGCCTGGGATGAAAGGACTCAGACTTCTACTCAGTTCCTATGTTGGGATTCAGTATCTAAAGACATAGTCAATGCTATAACGAACATTCGTGATTCAACAAAAGAAAGATGTGTATCTTAATCCTATAAATATTTTACACCATACTATAACATTATCCCCAATATGTTGTTTCAGAAATGAAGGTCTAATTCCCAGCAACTATGTTACTGAGAACAAGAAGAATAATTTAGAAACATATGAGTAAGTACCCTTGAAAATGATGATTGCACTTTTTTTCTAAAAATCGATTGCAGCGATACATTTTAGGGCTTGACCCATAGACCTGAAGAGGTGTTTATCAAATGCACTCTTTCTTCTTTTTTTTTTTTTTTTTGTTGCAAGACATTACTCTTAGTACTAGAATTAACCATTTTTGTTTGGAACTATTTGCTCAGAGAATGAAAGATGAAATTACAGACACTGAGCATTTCAACAACAATCATTTGCATAAATCATGTCAGAATCCAGATGTTTCCTATTTCTGTACACTCACCTCATCATGCTTCTATATTCTGATCATTTCCTGTTGTGAACATGTGATGAATCGACCAGAAGCTAATTTTAGTTACCTCAACCTCATTTACTGGAGGAAAGAGTAAAATTCTGAAAAATTCCAGGGAAGAGAGGCTGGACAAGGAGAGCAGGACTGTAAATTTCATCACAGTTTGGCCTGTTTCCTGGGTTTTCTTTTGTTTGAGCACGTATTTAATCACAGGGAATGGCAAAAAGAGTTGTCACATTAACAATGGTTTAATAAAGTAATTCCAAAGTAAGAGATGCTTATACACAATGATAGTTCCATTCAGGGTTTTGGGTTGGGAATAGTGCAACTATTAAGATGGATTATTTTCCTGAAATAGAGCAAACATTCATTTTTACTGGCTGAAATTAAAGGATAGGTTATCTCCTTCTTGCAGGTGGTACTGCAAAAACATAAATAGAAGCCAGGCAGAACTTCTCTTGCACCAGAAGGTAACTCAGCTTATTCATACAAAGAGCTAACGATATCTAGAAAGATCTATCAGCAGAGGCATCAAGACCGTTAACACAGTCAACTCCAAATCTGTTTGGTATGCAGAAAGAGAGAGAGAGTACTTTAAACCAGAAGGGTTTCTGGCGTAAGCGTACGGTGCAGACTATCCAGACTTCACAGAGTTGTAGCCCCAGCAAATTCGATGTAGATTTTCCATGCTAGATAAATTTAATTTCATGCGGTTACCTGTGCTCACCTTTTGTATAAAACACTGAAGACTGAGGTCAATGTAGTAACTTCACAAGGTTAGCAGAGCTTCACAAAATTCTTGCGTCTTCTTTATGTATAGAGCAAACAATCCATTTTGCGTTCCACAGTCTATCAGTTACCAAATCACCTGACTCAGTTAACCTCATTTGGCCTTTACTCACAGACTAACACAGGGCTTGGGCAAGACGGACCAGAGAAGAACATCTCAGATAGAACCATTTTACAGGTTTTTTTTTCTAGTGATGTGTAAATTTTGAATTTCAAGTCAAATAATTTTCATGACTTCACACTGAAGAATATAATTCACCTTAAATTTTTAACTCCAAGAAATTGTCTGGCACTTAGTATTTTCCCGTGGTTAATTTTGCTTTGCTATGCACCTGGCTATCAGTTCCCATTCTCCACTGCTTTATCCTCCTCCCAGGTAGTCACAGGTATTCCACCAAATTTGGTAATCAATCAGCTGCAAATCCCATCTCAAGGGAGACTTATTAAAGCTCAAAGCCAGAAAATAACTCTACTTGGATTTCTTTTCAGTCAAAAGAAGGTGCATTTCTTGTCAGAAATTCAAGCCAACAGGGACTTCTCACGCTGTCCATGTATTCACAGGCTAAAGGGTGAGTTGCTCTGGCTGGTTAGATTTTGAATCAAGAGGTGATGGAAGAGTTTCCCCCAAACTCCTTGGGATAAGTGGGGGGGTTGGACATGTGGTGCACAGGAGCAGGGAACCACTGGGGTGTTGATCATGCCGAGTTAATTACCCTGCATGCAGATAATTAACGGTGGGCAGTGGATCTGGGAGTCAGCGTGCAAATGTCCTGCCAAGACAAGATTAACTGCACTGATTGAAACCCTCAAATAACCTGCTGTGAACGCCGTGCATCCCACCCAAGTAAGGTGGCAGTAAGACCTTACTGCCACAGGACTCGCTTTCCCCCACATCATTAGTAATCGCCTACAGCACCGACTTATCCCATCCCAAGCCGCCTTATACCCCTCCCTCAGCCCTCCTCCATCCTCCTGCATCAGTGGTGTCTGCTTTCCCTCTCTCCCTCTTAGAGCAGGCCGGAGGTGAAGACCCAGGAAAAGGCATCACTGCTACCACCACCCTCTTCCTCCTTCCCCTCCACAGAAATGTGGGGAGCCCGCCCTGCCACCCCCTGTGCTGAACACAGGCTCATGTTTGCAGTGGGGTACCAACCTTCAGCAGCCACCTCCAGTCTGAAATAAAAGCTTGCCTTTTCATTTTGAGTCTCACAGCAGGTAGAGGTAGATGGGCAGCAAAATGTACAGAGAGCAAGAAAGACAGATAATGTGGAGAAATACGGAAAAGTAAATGTATCCAAATAACAGTTCCAGTGAAGAGCCTTTGGAGGAGAAAAACAGAAAATTTAATCTCACAGTATACATGAATATGTTTTTAACTTTTTGGTTATGAAGAGCATTTTAATTTTAAAAGCTTAGATTCAAAGAAATGTGGAATTGGGAGGAACAGCTGGTACATGCTACAGCTGTGTCTCATGGATGCAGTGATACGAGGCTGAATACTTGTACAATAAAAATATTGTGCAGTATCTCCCAAAGTTGGGAGAGATATCCCTCCAGGAGTTTGTTTTTGGTTTTTTTTTTTTTTTTTTTTTTAAACCCTGAAACAGTGCCCCAGTTACACACAGCCATTGTGATTAGAGAATTGTATCCCAAGTTTTCAGATATTTCTGTACAATCTTTCCAAGTAAACTTTAACCAGATTTATAATATAAATCATTTTTACTGAAAATCATAATCCTCCGTTGGTTTCAGAAACCATAGTGGAAACATTCGACATTATCAAATTAAGAAAAACCACTTGGGACAATATTATGTAGCAGAAAGATATGTCTTTTCATCTGTTCCTGAACTCATCGAGTATCACCAACACAACGCTGCAGGTAAGGCATGTAGGCTCAATAAGGTTTTATAACTCATGATTTAAAGCTCCTCGGGACTTTGAGAGATTGAAAATCACTCTCTCTCTAATGCTTTCTTTATAAAAAGTGAAAAAAGCTTTTCTACTGCTAACGAATTCAAATATGCCCTGATCCTTTTTGCCAAAGTGTGAATGTGTTAGGGGGGAAGCGAAAGTACCAAGCTCATCTACATGAATCAAATGAATTTTACAAAGCTGGAAGCCCAATATATTTACCCGCTCAGTATTCTCGTGGCTCATATTTGACTGAATGTCACTTGTACGGAATTTCATTACAATTCTTTGTTTGTCCACGATGCAGTGACTTGCATGAATGCAATTTCAGAAAAACAGCACCAGCAGGCAGCATTTTACTAATTTTGGAAAAAAAAAAAAAAAACAAACAACCCAAACCATCCCACAAACAATCAAAAGCAGAATTAGGGAACTCAAGGACTCTCCAGCACTGATTTGCAGCCTACCAGAGTCAACCACCTCTAATTGGTGGCTAACAGCAGCTTTTAATAAATTTGAGCATTAAAACACACTCTTCATCTTGGCACTGCCCATCCTTTTAATACAATATAAAATAATTTTACCCTGAATGAGTGTAGATGTGAAACCACAGAGATCCCTTGCACTAGTGAGGAAGGAAGATGCAGGAATGGACAGAGCCTTTTGCCTGAGGGAGAGAAATTGTAGGAAACCCATGAAGTAGAAAAGGACCTGAAAATAACAGTTAGAAGAATGAATGAGTGCAGGGAGTCCTTGGTGAGGGAGGTACTCAATGGTACTGTTGGCTCATGGATTCAAAGAAAAGGAAGGACAGACACAAGATATTTCTTGTGATGGGAAACAACCCTGAGAAATCATGCTGGAATAGACCGCTTGGGTGGTATAATATTATAGTGCTCACGTAGCATTATTTAAGATCACTAACATCATACAAACAAGTAAGAGCATCGCTTCTGGTTGTATGAAAGTGTAGATACTTCTGTAGTTGGGACCCTACGGAATAGCCTTCCGGCATTTCTTTTCACCGTAGTGTTTTATCCGAACAAGCTGTAAGAAAAAGTAACTTCACAAACTATGAAATGTAGTTCAGATTCCAAATATTTTTGTTTGAGAAGACATACGAAATAGCGTACTTTAAAATGAAGTAGTAAACAGAATATTGCTGCTTTGTCCCCTACAGGTCTTATCACTCGTCTCCGACATCCAGTTGGATGTACTTCACCAGCAACAGCAGGATTTAGTTATGGTAATTTTTTTGTCTTGTTTTGGTGTAGATTTAGGTATCTGTCTAGGCAATATTTAGATCACAACCACACAGCTAATAACTAAGTTGTAGCTGCGAAATTTCCCGGTAATAAGAAATGCAAAACCAGCCACGTATTCACCAGAAACAGACACTCATTTCCTCGTAAAGTGTCAGAAACAAACGAGACACCTGACTTGAGTCTTTCTGTTCAGAGACTGTTGTGCTTCGGTTACAACCACCAGTGTATTTCAGAGCTATCTGCACTTTTGTAAGCAAGCTTAAGACACAAAGATACATTTAATAGCTTTCCAAAGGCTATTTGATTCATGGAAACGCTTAGGAAATTGAAATTAATATTATCTATGGGGGAGATTGTTGGTTCTGCAAGATTTAGAAATAAGAATGAAATTTTACACAGTATTAGGAAACAAGAAATAAATCCCTGTTTTGTGTATATAGATGAGGAAGTAAATATTATCTGGCTGATGATAGGAACCTCCAAAATCGTGTATCTTCTCTGTTTATGTTCCCATTAATCTCAAGGCTTACTATTTCTGAAGGGCAGAACTATTGTGGCTATTTCAATAGAGGCAGCCTGTAGCTATTTCTGAAGCAGTAGTATCCATCCAGAACTGGTTCTGAGTTAAAAAAATCACATATGATAATGCCAAAAAAAGGTCTTATAAGTAATCAAGGCTAAACACTTGCCATATCTTCAAGCCTCAGACATTCCTACATTAAGCAGTTTAAACACTAATCACTTTCTACAAGCTGTAAAATAACATTCACATATAAACATGTATGAGCATGTGGAAATTTTCAGATATTTAAAAATCATGCTATAGATGATGAACAATTGCAGTGGGTTTTTTGCGTGCATGAACTCTAGGCAAGGCGAGACTCCTGGAGCACAGCTGACCTGACTGCTACGACATATTGCGTTGCTTTTATAGGGGAGTGGGAATTAAACCCATCTGAACTGACATTCATGAAAGAACTTGGGCGTGGGCAGTTTGGAGTTGTCCAGCTTGGTAAATGGAAAGCGACCATCAAGGTGGCCATCAAAACAATCAATGAAGGTGCAATGTCGGAAGATGATTTCATCGAGGAGGCTAAAGTGATGATGTAAGTACAAAACCTATTCTATCCGATAGTTGGCATTGAGATGACCAAGGAATTAACAGAACTTAATTCCGTTAAAATAAACAGACAAAGCTAGTTTGATGGGAATGGTGGATGTGCAGGACAGAAGATATAAAGGTCTGAATCTGACTGCAGCAGACGCTCGCTATGCCCGTTGCCAGAATCTTTCTTTATTAGAGGGTGCACTGCTTTGTGCTGTGGAGCTTAGTGGGGAGTAAGTGTGCTGATGAATAAATGTGCTCCTACAACTACACTTTCATCCATAAATCAGTGCCTCTAGGACCACTGGCAGAGCTCATACTTAACTAAAGCTTTTGAGAAACAATCTTACAATTTCTGCTAATTTTGCAAATTAGGGAAGCATCCAGACCAGGTCTTGGCACAGCTCAGAAGAGAAGAAACCTTGCAGGGTCATGCCTGCTGCCGGAAAGGCAGGCATAACTAGACCTTTCCATTTCACATCATGCACTCATTCACTGCATTTATATAACTGATGAACAGTTATGAATTCAAAGAGTGAACGTTTTGGAGGAAATTGGCAGCAGAAATGTGTTAGATAGTGGGACAATTCTCAGGCCAGTTGAAAAGAATAATTTTATCAAGCACTGAAAGTATTTTTCAAAACTATCATGAGAGCCAAAGGTCTTGTTACCTGCCAAGGAAAAATGATAGCCTGTCTAAAATGTGATTTTAAACAGGAAACTCTCCCACCCAAAGCTGGTCCAGCTTTACGGAGTGTGCACACACCACAAGCCTCTCTACGTTGTGACCGAATTCATGGAAAACGGGTGCCTGCTCAACTACCTTTGGCAAAGGCGAGGGAAGCTCAGCAGAGACGTTCTGTTGAGCATGTGCCAGGATGTGTGCGAAGGGATGGAATACCTGGAAAGAAACAGCTTTATTCACCGTGATTTAGTAAGTGCAAGGGTTTTTCTGAGATTCTTGGTAAATACTGGCAGTACAGAACATGACACTGCATTTTATAGAACTAATGTGTCCTGAAAAACTTCAGCCCTGCAGTATCTAATAAGCCAACAGTGTTTTCCTGGCTGTAAACCACAACTCTCCAGCTGTTATTTTTGTCCATGGACTTGATCAATGATCCATTGTCCAGAGAAGTCAGAGGATATTGGATATCAGCATGGGGCAGGCTGGTGTTAGGACATACCACGGAAGAGTATCATTCAGTGACCACAACACAACCAAAATGACAGCAATGCAAAAGGTCAGCAACAATGAGGGGTTTTTTCTTTCAACAAGATCTTTTTCTATCTACATTTTTTCTGCTCCCTACTGCTGCGATATTCGGGTGGCTTTTCTGCCCTAACCCTCATAAACAGGGAATCATACGAGAGGAGTCTGTTTCTTAACTCTCTGCTTTTTTATCAATGCTCACATCTGGATGCAGAGAGGAAATTTTCCTGCTCTCCTCCCTAGCTGCCTGAAGAAAAGTAAAATCTCAAAAATTCCCAAGGAGTTCCTGATTTCGGTAATGAAAAAGACAATTTTTTTTAACTTCACGCTGAGTGTCCCAGTGCTAGTGTTCTGGAAAATATCTGCTTGGATAACTAGACTCTGCAGGCTAAAGTTTCTTTTACCACACAGGTTTATGCAAAAATCCTGCAACTCATACTACAAGGATTTAAATTGATCTGTGCTATGTATGCGTAACTACAGAGTAGCAAAATATATTCACTGACTCAGAGCCAGAGCTTCACTTACATTTTTGAGCAAGAAACAAAACCAATAATCTATTGTATTTCTCTTAAAATGCTTTAGCACAGATTGCAGATATGTTTCTTTCATTTTTCCCAGGCTGCAAGAAACTGTTTAGTCAACGCTGAGCACATCGTTAAAGTATCCGACTTCGGGATGGCGAGGTACGGGGCTGTTGAGACGGGTTTAGTGAGTACCAATTCTCAGTCAGCTGCAGCATCACCCTGAGTTAACCTCATCGCTTGCTTCGCTGATGTGGGGAATCCCACTGCGGTCAATTTTTTTAATTCTGATGGAAATTATGATGTTGTTTAACTGTTGTACCGTGAACTGGATGTTGTGTCCGCCTCTGGGTATCAGTGAGTGTAAGGCAGGTAACCAAGTGCCTGGTAAACTTCAGGAGTTCATGGGCAGGGAAATGCCCAGCGCACACAGGACTGCCTGAAGCTTGATGAAACAAGTTCCCCAACTTTTCTGAGCGGCAGGGAGGGCAGAAAGTCCCCAGGGAGAGATCCAGGTGCTGGTGCTGAGTTTCAGAGGAGGCAGCGGCTGAGTAGATGAGGCCGGAGGCAGGGAGGAATGGCAGGAAGAGGAGGGCGATGTGCACCACTCTAGCAGGGAAGTGGTTTTTCTGCTTAATGAGGGGGGCCAGACGGGTGGAGAAGGAGACCAAAGTGCAGTCTGACAAGCAGAGGCCAGGGAAACGCAGCTCTGCTCTGGCAGACAGGAGATCGGGCTGTATTTTACAGCTGAGCTCACGGGGTGACTCGCTGCTGCCCAAAGGGGTTCTCCCACTCCTGCCCGCTTTCCTCTTGTGAGCCCAGCACAAAGCTCTCCACTTGTCTGCTGTACTGGCTGGTTTTTCTGCTGGAGCAGACGACTGAATTGACTCACTTTGGAGGCAGATGAGTCTGCAAGGCAATGCGTGGCTCTGAGCAAGAGGTGGTGGTGGCATTCACCTTGCGCCTGCAGGTCATTAGACCAGCACAGCCACGCTGCTCACCTTCCCCTTCCGTTTTTGACCCCTATTTCTAACCTAAGGATTACAACACCCCAGCAGTTTGTAACGGAATACTTGTTTTTCAAAAGGCTGTCCTATACCGTGGCAGTGCCCACTGGTTGCACTGCTCCCCAGAAGGGTACGGTCAGTGTCAGGGGTCTGGATTCATCCAAATGTCCCAGAAAACACAGAAAGAGACCAAGGGACTGTCAGGGTTCAGCCTGAGAATAATCAGCCTGAATGGCTCACTGTTGCCAAAAAGTGGAAACCGGTGGTCTGGCTCTCAAAGACAGGTCGTCACTCCCCTGGGAAGACCAAGGAGAGGTGATGGGATCTTGCCCAGCCTGTTTATTCAGATCTTGCCCAGCCTGTTTATTCAGAGCTCACACAACTGCCACTACTGGTTATTTTGTACTGTTATTTCGTATGTTTCTTATCCAATAACGTCTCATCTTTCTGTGCCTGATCCACAATGAGGAAAGGGAGACAAAGAGATGATTTCTCTCAAGGTGGCCTCCTTTAAAAGATGCTAAAGCGTTATGCCTTCTGTGAGAACAAGTGTTGCGTAGTGCATCTGTCATCTACTCAGGAACATTAATATTGGGAAAATGTACACAGAACTTGTATGTATGTAGGGGTCAGTCTGGTAACCTTTTAAAATGTTGCCCTATAAATGCCTGCATCAAGCACATAATTTTCATTTTATCTGAGAGGTCAGCTCCTATGAGCTTGGACAGAGAAAATAACTTTTCCAGTGCACCTGCAAGGACTGTTGCCTTGTATGTAGTGAACATTTCTTTTTCTGTTGCTTCTGTAACAATGTGCCAGACACCCTATCTGTGAAGTCAGGCAGTTACGAAGTGTAGCCCTCTACCACTAGTGCTCCAGTACAAGTGGTTGGAAAGGTGGACTCTTTCAGAAAGAGACAATAATTGTTTATCGCTGCTGATTTTCCTGCCCATGGTGAAGGGATGTGTCCTATAAATATATCCCCAAAAGATGACAAGAACAACCATCCCATCAGTCATAAGGATGGTATTAAAATGTTTTATTCCAACATACATCTCATGAACCATTCCGAGCATTCATTTAAACAGAAATCTCTTTAAGTGCATTGCTTCCACTGTGGGTATCTATGTGGATTTTATACTAAATCAGTGGTAACATTCCCTTGTTTCTAATTTGACACTGTATTTTCATGGAATTACAAACCATCTGTGGAAATGTTTAGGACTTTTTGTCCTTTAACTATCATTCAAATATATGCTGTTCCCTGTTATTCTTTAGGTATGTCATCGATGATGAATATATCAGCTCTTCAGGTGCCAAGTTTCCAGTTAAATGGTCATCTCCTGAAGTCTTTCATTTCAAAAAATATAGTAGCAAATCAGATGTCTGGTCATTTGGTGAGTTGATTAGGTGAATGAGCAACATATCACACTTCAATAAAACTACAGATGTGATTTAGGAAAGTGTAACTCTTTACTCATGCTTCCTGTCTTAAGCTTTAGTCTTTCCATTTTTCAAATCTTGCCTATAATGGACAAGTTGGAGCAAGTCCAGAGGAGGCCACGGAGATGCTCAGAGGGCTGGAGCCCCTCTGCTATGGGGACAGGCTGAGAGAGTTGGGCTTGTTCAGCCTGGAGAAGAGAAGGCTCCGGGGAGACCTTATTGCACCTTCCAGTACCTGAAGGGGCTACAAGGAAGCTGGGGGGGGCTTTTTACAAGGGCCTGTAGTGACAGGACAAGGGGTAACAGGATTAAATTGAAAGTGGGGAGGTTTAGATTAGATATCAGGAAGAAGTTCTTCATGCAGAGGGTGGTGAGGCACTGGCACAGGTTGCCCAGAGAAGCTGCAGATGGCCCATCCACGGAAGTGTTCAAGGCCAGGCTGGATGAGGCTTTGAGCAACCTGGTCTAGTGGAAGGTGTCCCTGCCCATGGCAGGGGGTTGGAACTAGATGGTCTTTAAGGTCCCTTCCAACCCAACCCATTCTGTGATTCTCTGATAAGTAAGTTTTTCAATAGAAATGCTCTGTGGCTAAAAATTAGATTTTGACTGAAATGTGCATGCTTGGTAAGTTCTCTTTAGCCAAATGTCTTTCAGGGACCACCATCTTAGCTGCCTTAAAAGAGAGCAGAATTATATTAGTTGGAAATGGTTTTGGTTGACCCTCTTCATTCAGCACAGGCTGCCCATATTTTCATGCATTTGTCCATACACAAAAAAATAAAGAGTGGTCTTTGTTCTTCTAATGTTGTTAAATAGCTCGTCAGTTTGTGGGTTTTGTTTTGTCCTAAACATTTTGGTTCACTTCTAGGTGTACTGATGTGGGAAGTTTTCACAGAAGGCAAAATGCCTTTTGGAAATAAGACAAACTCTGAAGTTTTCCATGAGATTTCTCAGGGTAACCGACTCTATCGACCACATTTGGCATCACAGACTTTGTATAAAGTCATGTACAGCTGCTGGCACGAGGTTTGTTGCCCTTTATTCCCTGTGACATTACTTTAATAATAATTTGTAAAGTGAATCTAAGAAAGGAGGCATTGAATCCTTATTTCATATCTGTGGCACCCTCGGTATCTCTCGGTATTTTCATATCTGTGGCACCCTCGGTATCTCTCGGTATTTTGTGAAAACAAACACTATGCTTTTCACAAACCTTTCTTTGCAAGCCTTTGTTTCTTTTGACTTTTGCACCTGATAAATAGAAAGCACATCATGGGTACAATTGGTCTAGACCATCCCTGGTTTTGAATATGTCACTATTGTCTCGCTTCTCTACTGCGTCAAATACAATACCTTTTTCACACCTCTGTACCATGCATTGTTTTCTCTAGCTCTTCTCTGAATGATAACCTTAACATGTTCATATACTAAGTGGGTATGCCCACTAAATGTGGATTTTAAACCCCATTTTTCCGGTGTATATCAGTACCTCTGTACATCACTATAGCTCCTAGGCTGCACCCCTTTCACCTTCTCCGCTCTGATTTAGTACTTGATGTTCTTTCTCTGTTTCTCCAGCACCTATTTCTTTCTATATTGGTATCAAAACATTGATTTCATCAACTTCTCCATCTGACTAATCCCTTAAGGTCCCTCCTTCTCTAGTGCTTACAGGAAACAAATCTTTAATTTTAGGTGAAAAGTACTTTCAGAAGAGCTTGGTGTGCGATGCTTTCATGTGAACAGGCAGGCATACACTGAGACTACCTGGGAAGCCTCGTTCTACCATTGTCTCCTTTATCCTACCTCTCCTTTCTTGCACATCTTTTAACTCTATATGAATTTTTTAGACCATGAGTTAAAAAAGCTTAAGAGACTGAAACCTAAACTGCATCTAGCTTGCTTACTGCAAATATCCATCCAGATGCCAGCCAGCAGAGAGGATAGGGAGGAAGTTCTCCCTTCTCCTGGCTGCCATCACGCAGGAGTTTGTTCCATGCTGAGCTGCAATACATCAAACAGTACAACAGTGAAGATCCTTTTTCAACAGCCCAGGAAATGTTCCTGAGTATTGTGGTTTTCTGAGAGGTAGTATTTTCCAGTGACCCATTGCAGGGGAGAAATCCTGCAGGAATTCTGGTCCAAAATTGAAATAAAGAAATTCTAGGAATGCTTGGAAAAGGGGCTGTGTTCATGCTGCTGGTGTCATGAAGAATAAATGTTCTTTTTCTCCTCAAATAATAAACTTGATCTTCTGTATTAATGAAATGTAATTTTTAAGTGGTAGCTCATATGTACTTGTAACCATCTTCTGAAGTCTGGTGCTATAATTAACCAATCTGCTAATATAAATCTATCCTCTGCTTTTCTTTTCAGAAACCTGAAGGACGTCCTACTTTTGCAGAGTTAACAGAAACCCTTGCAGCTATAACAGAGATGGGATAACCAGAGATTTTACACCAATGTGTTTACTGAAAGGTTAGCATTAAGCATGTCAATAATGTAGCTTATACAGGAAAACTCAGCCTTTTACAGCAGTCCCTACCTAAATCACAGTACCAGTATCCTACGTATTGAAGCAGCTGTTTGGGTCTGGCCTGATTTTTACTCATGTGAAAAAGATACCTCAAGAGACTGGTTCAGGACTCTCATTTTCACGCTTTGTTTTCATGATCAGGGAGAAAAATCTCCTGTCTGGAAAGAAGTAACCAAGCTTACTCACCTTACAGGCCTTTTTATTTATTTTTCTGGTCAGAGCTACACTACTTCCTGTAACAATATTATTAAATTATTTGGTACTTAATAAGACTCATGCACTGACGAATACTGATCAGCAGCAGCAAAAACGATGGGAAAGCCTCTGATAAAGCCCTGGTTAGGTCATGTTTAAAGACAAGCCCTTGCTCTTGCACTGCAAAGCATCCAGCACTGAAGAAGAGGAGCAATGTTTCAGACGGAGCAGGGAGCTACCTGACAACTGCTGGAGCAGCACCCACACACATGCCCTTGCCCACCACCATGGGTAGAGGCAGGCAAGGGGAGCCAAGGGAGCCATCATTGTTTAGCAGCTCCCAGCTCACATCTGAGCTGCTGGGAAGTGTGAGCATCCCTGAAGCATTTTAAACCTGCATGGCAGGTCAGGGTGTCTTCTCTACCAATTCTGTGTAAAAGGAGGAGAGTCAGGATTATTTTATCCAAACCTCTCCCACAATTTTCCAGTATTGTCTCCTGTTACTTGCCTGCTGCCTCCTACTCAGATGCCAACGCTTGCCTTAGTCCTCCCCTTGCAAGTGCCCAGAATGGTTAATGGACAAGTTGATGCTGGCACCTGACAGTAAACCAAAGTGCTTTGAATTAGTCTAGCTCAGATGGAGGCTGTGATGCCTGACATGGGCAATGTCTGTAACCCTACTTCTTGTGTTATTCAGTTTTAATTTTACATCTCACTTGTGGTTGATACAAATATAGAGAAGAAAAGGCAGGTTGAGTTCATAATTTAATATAAAATATGCAGACCATTACAATTAAATAGGTTCTTTAAAATATGCGATGGCATTGTGAGTTATTTATAGGAAAGTACATCATAATATTTAGTTTTATAGCTCTTCGTAGACAAAATATGTAAACCACAATAGCTAAAGAATGGTTGAGTTCTGAACAATGTAATTTTTCATTTCCAAATAAAAAAAAAAAAGTAAGAATAAAATTAAGTATATCAAGCATCCCAAGTTTTGAATTTCCAGAAGATGATGGCATCTCTGGGTGTGCTGG